GGACCCTCGACATAAACGGACTTTCCTCCTCAAATCCGTTAAATAGAGGTATCACATTTAACGGACCCTCGATATAACGGACTTTCCTCCTCAAATCCGTTAAATAGAGGTACCATACGACCTCTCAAGACTTAACACCATAATTCGATCTAAATATCAATGGATTCTAACTAAACCTGCATGACGATATATTCATGCACAAATACATACATACATACATACATACATACATACATACATACATTAATACTTACTGACATACATGCTATATATTGTTAAATGTATACATCTCACACACACACATACACACACACACACACACACACACACTCACACACACACACTCACACACACTATTTACCCCCTGCCTTAGTGTTATGGAGATCGGGGCTCGGGGAGTTGCAGCTCAGTATTGGCCAATAGATTTGCTCCACATCTCATCCTCTTGTTTATGATTGGCTGCTGGTCCTTTGTTCGTGTACGTTGGTTCAGTGATCCAGTAAGTCCGCGTTTGGTTTGAAAGACACACACACACACACACACACACACAGTATCAATATAAATCGGAAAAAAATATGTGGTATGTTTTTTTCGAGTTCATGTGCAACAACAATAATGACAACAAAAACAACATCAACAACAAAAACAATAACAACAACAACAACAATAACAACAACAACAACAACAACAACAACAACAACAACAACAATAATAATAATAATAATAATAATAATAATAATAATAATAATAATGAAATTTACGGCTTCCTTTTGAACATAAACCATTGTATCCCTAGAGTACAATGTGTGTGTGTGTGTGTGTGTGTGTGTGTGTGTGTGTGCAAAATTGAAAAGGTAATTTTTGGGTTGTGTAAATGGACGGTGCTGTGTTAGTTGTGTTAGATGAGGTGTTAGGTGCTGTGTTACGGTGTTATGGATACGTGGTGCTGTGTTACGGTGTTATGGATACGTGGTGCTGTGTTATGGATACGTGGTGCTGTTACGCTGTTATGGATACGTGGTGCTGTGTTACGGTGTTATGGATACGTGGTGTTGTTACGCTTTTATGGATACGTGGTGCTGTGTTACGGTGTTATGGATACGTGGTGCTGTGTTATGGATACGTGGTGCTGTTACGCTGTTATGGATACGTGGTGCTGTGTTACGGTGTTATGGATACGTGGTGCTGTGTTACGGTGTTATGGATACGTGGTGCTGTGTTACGGTGTTATGGATACGTGGTGCTGTGTTACGGTGTTATGGATACGTGGTGCTGTGTTACGGTGTTATGGATACGTGGTGCTGTGTTACGGTGTTATGGATGCGTGGTGCTGTGTTACGGTGTTATGGATGCGTGGTGCTGTGTTACGGTGTTATGGATGCGTGGTGCTGTGTTACGGTGTTATGGATGCGTGGTGCTGTGTTATGGATACGTGGTGTTGTTACGGTGTTATGGATACGTGGTGCTGTGTTGCGGTGTTATGGATGCGTGGTGCTGTGTGTTACGCTGTTATGGATGCGTGGTGCTGTGTTACGGTGTTATGGATGCGTGGTGCTGTGTTACGGTGTTATGGGTGCTGTGTTACGGTGTTATGGATACGTGGTGCTGTGTTACGCTGTTATGGATACGTGGTGCTGTGTTACGGTGTTGCGGATACGTGGTGCTGTGTTACGGTGTTATGGATGCGTGGTGCTGTGTTGTTATGGATACGTGGTGCTGTGTTACGGTGTGTTATGGATCGTGGTGCTGTGTTACGGTGTTATGGATACGTGGTGCTGTGTTACGGTGTTATGGATACGTGGTGCTGTGTTGTGTTATGGATGCGTGGTGCTGTGTTACGGTGTTATGGATACGTGGTGCTGTGTTACGGTGTTATGGATACGTGGTGTTACGCTTTTTATGGATACGTGGTGCTGTGTTATGCTGTTATGGATACGTGGTGCTGTGTTGCGGTGTTATGGATACGTGGTGCTGTGTTACGGTGCTGTGTTGTGGCACGCTACTGTTGTCGTGTCAGGTAACAACAACAGTAACAGTATTTTAGAGCGGTCAGCCTTCAGTCTCCACTCCATAATACCCGGAGGCAAGTGTCCAACCCTTTGTAATTTACCCTTGTTTATAGTGATGGAGGGGGGGAGGGGGAGGGGGGGGATGGAGGATAGGAGGGAAGATGGAGGGTTACGGGAGGAAGGGAAGATGGAGGGTTAGGGAGGAAGGGTAAATAGGTGTTTGTCATGCTGTGTGTGTGTGCGTGTGCTACGCCTTGGGTCAGTCTGTTTGCGTGTGCACCTTATATAAGCAGTTTGCTACACGCCCCCCCCCCCTTTACATCCCCTACCTCCCCTCCTCCTACTTCCCTCATCTCCTACCTCCTTCCCCTACCTCCCTCCTCCTACTTCCCCTACCTCACTCTTCCTTCTCCCTCCCTCACCCCCTCCCCCCGTCGTTGCATGTTAAGAATATCCCTTTCATTTATTGAGCGAGTAAGCGAGCGTATCCCAGTACAAGGTTCAGCGTATTCCGTTGCATGGTGAGCGTATCGCGTTATTTGTCCGGCGTATATCTTGCTTGGATCTGCGTGTTGGTGGCTGTAAGCACTCTGTGATTACCCCTCGCGTGTCGGCTAAAATATACGCCCTTATTTAATGTATATACGCCCTTATTTACGGTATATACGCCCTTATTTACGGTAAATACGTCCTTATTTACGGTAAATACGCCCTTATTTACCGTATATACGCCCTTATGGTACATACGCCCTTATTTATGGTACACTCACACAAACATACACATAGATGTACACACAGACATACACAGACTCACACAGACGTACACACAGACATTCACACAGACTTACACAGACGTACACACAGACATGCATAGAAACATACACACAGACATACACACACAGATACACACAGGACAACGTGATTTGGACACAAAGTCGATCATAGGAAACCTTAGTGTTGTGTTGACTCATCCCTCCCTCCCTCCCTCCCTGTCTCCCTGTCTCCCTCCCTCCCTGTCTCCCTCCTTCCCTGTCACCCTCCCTGTCTCCCTCCTCTGTCTCTCTCCCTCCCTGTCTCTCTCCCCCCTCCCTGTCTCTCTCACTCCCTCCTCCCTTCCCTCCCTTCCTTCCTCCCCTCCCTCCCCTCCCTCCCTCCCTCCTCCTCCCCTCCTCCTCCCTCCCTCCCCCTCCCTCCCTCCCTCCCTCCTCCCTCCCTCCCTCCCCCTCCCTCCCTCCTCTCCCTTTCTTCCTCCCTCCTCTCCCTTTCTTCCTTCCTCCTCTCCCTATCTTCCTCCTCTCTTTCCCTTTTTCCTCATTCAGCGATTAAGTTCAGTTAAGTTATATCAGTTTAAGCTAAGTTAGGTTAAGGTTGTTTAGGTTAGGTTGGGTTAGGATAGGTAAGGTTAAGTTAGGGTAGAATAAGTTAGTTCAGTTTGGGTTAGGTTAGGTTATGATAGGTTAAGTTAGGTTAGAGTGGGTTAGGTTAAGTTAGGAGTGGGTTAGGTTAAGTTAAGTTAGGTTAGACTGGGTTAGGTTAAGTTAGGAGTGGGTTAGGTTAGGTTAAGTTAGGTTAGACTGGGTTAGGTTAGGTTCACACCTCACACACGCCAGGTAACATTCCACACAATTCACTGGGAGGGTCTGGTCGATAAAGGTGGTCTTCCGTCTTCGTGTGTTGGGTCGTAGTAGCGAGTTGACTGCTGTATGTCCGTAATAGCGAGGTGTCCGTAATATGGAGGTGTTCCTAATGGCGAGGTGTCCTGAATAGCGAGGTTTCGGTAATAGCAAGGTGTCCGTAATGGCATGTTGTTTGTTATAGCGATGTGCCTGTAATATCGAGGTGTCTGTAAAAAGCGAGGTGTCCGTAATGGCGAAGTGTCCATAACAGTGAGGTGGCCGTAATAGCAAACCATCTTATTACTGCTATCTGTCCGTAATAGCGAGGTGGCCGTATTAGTGAGTCATTTTCTTGCTGTTTTATGTCTGTAATAGCGAGGCGTCCGTAATAGCCAATTGACTTAGGGCTTTTTTTTAGAGTGTGTGTAATAGAGAGAGCCTTAATTGATAGTTAATTAGCGGTTAATTGATTGGAGGCTGCGGCGCCGATTAATTAAATAATTAGTTGAATTAATTATCTTGAGATATGAAGCGTGGCCAGATTTTTTTTATCGATTAGTAGTAGTGCAACTTATTTTTTTACCCGGATATTTTTGTCTTGTTTTCCGGATTTGACTGATGGAAAACTGGTACAATACTGGAACAAAACTGGTACAAAACGGGAACAAAACTGGTACAATACTGGTACAATACACCACAGCAGTCAGTCCCCCCCCCCACCCCCCCTTGCCAGGTATTCAGGTAACATTGGCAGCGTGTTTTGCTGTTGTTGAATAATGGCCCGGTAGATTTGACCAACACACACATACACACACACACACACACACACACGCACACACACACACACACACACACACACACACACACACACACACACACACACACACACACGCAAAGCAGCAGTAGTGGGCACCTAGTTGATGTTGGAGCCTAATGTTGCTGTGAATTGGTTATTTGGTTGAGAATGTGGTGGTGGTGGAAGTGATGGCGGTGGTAGGGGTTGGTTGTTGGGTGATAGTGGTTGGTGGTGAGGGTGGTTGGTGAGCGTGGTGATGGTGGTTAGTGGTGGTTGGTGATGGTGGTGGTAATGTGGTTGGTGGGTGGTAATGGGTGGCAGGATTGTGGTGAGTGGCTGATTTGGTGGAGGTGGCAGGATTTGGTGGGTAATGGGATTGTGGTGAGGGGTGGAAGATGGTGGGTTAGAGGTGGGTGCGAGGATTTGGGGGGTGGTGGTGGTGGTGGGCGCAGGATTGTGGGTGGTGAGTGTGGTGGGTGGCGCAGGATTGTGGTGAGTGGGTGGTAGAGAGTGTGGTGGGTGGGTGGCAGGGTGGGAAGTACGCCATCCTGTACCCTAAGACAAACACACACACCACACCTAAGCCATACCGTACATGCAACATGTGGCGCTCCCTTCTCCGTGGCACGTCCCATGGCACTGCACGGCTCTGTTGGCATGGCTCTGGCACTGTACGGCTCTGTTGGCATGGGTCTGGCACTGTACAGCTCTGTTGGCATGGGTCTGGAACTGTACGGCTCTGTTGGCATGACTCTGGCACTGTACGGCTCTGTTGGCATGACTCTGGCACTGCAGCTCTACTGACATGGCTCTGGCACTGTGTGCGGCTCTGTTGGCATGACTCTGGCACTGTACGGCTCTGTTGGCATGACTGTGGCACTGTTGGCATGGCTCTGGCACTGTACGGCTCTGTTGGCATGGCTCTGCTGTATGCAGCTCTGTTGGCATGGCTCTGGCACTGTACAGCTCTGTTGGCATGACTCTGGCACTGTATGGCTCTGTTGGCATGACTGTGGCACTGTTGCATGGCTCTGGCACTGTACAGCTCTGTTGGCATGGCACTGTGGCACTGTTGGCATGGCTCTGGCACTGTACGGCTCTGTTGGCATGACTGTGGCACTGTTGGCATGGCTCTGGCACTGTACGGCTCTGTTGGCATGACTGTTGCACTGTTGGCAGCTCTGGCACTGTACAGCTCTGTTGGCATGACTCTGGCACTGTATGGCTCTGTTGGCATGACTGTGGCACTGTTGGCATGGCTCTGGCACTGTCACGGCTCTGTTGGCATGACTGTGGCACTGTTGGCATGGCTCTGGCACTGTGCAGCTCTGTTGGCATGACTCTGGCACTGTATGGCTCTGTTGGCATGACTGTGGCACTTGGCATGGCTCTGGCACTGTATGGCTCTGTTGGCATGACTGGCACTGTTGGCATGGCTCTGGCACTGTACGGCTCTGTTGGCATGACTGTGGCACTGTTGGCATGGCTCTGGCACTGTACGGCTCTTGAGGTACGGGTGGGACAGTCAGTTCAAGACAGTATTTATTTACGTGTAAGATGTTCAAGATTTTTGTCTGCCTTTCTGTCTGTCTGTGTCTTTCTCTGTTTATCTGTCTGTCTCTGTATCTGTCTGTCTGTCTGTCTGTCTCTGTATCTGTCTGTCTCTGTATCTGTCTGTGTGTGTCTGTCGCTTTATGTCGCTCTGTCTGTCTGTCTCTCATTTCAATATCAAAGAGCTGGGAGTGTTATCAATGTTTAATTTGGCGGCAGCGTATAAACTGTACTCTGATGTCACGCTGCCAAACATGCCTGCGCCTCTCCCCTCCCTCCCTCCTCCTCCTCCCTCCCCTCCCTCCTCCCCTCCCTCCCCCTCCCCTCCTCCCCTCCTCCCCTCCCTCTCTCCCTCCTCCCCTCCCTCCCTCCCTCCCTCCCTCCCTCCTCCCTCCTCCTCCCTCCTCCTCCCTCCCTCCCTCCCCTCCCTCCCTCTCCCTCCCTCTCTCCCCTCTCCCTCCCTCTCCTCCCTCCCTCTCTCCCTCCCTCAATCTCAGCTGAAGGGCCTTTGATGTGCTTAATTTTGTGTGTGTGTGTGTGTGTGTGTCATGGAATAATCCCAAGATGACCGGACAACTCGCTAACTGCACTGGCTAACTATTACTGCTGGGTAGACGATTATGCTGAGCCACACACACACACACACACACACACACACACACACACACTACCGTATCAGTGCTGGAAAAAGTTTATTTCAATAATATTAATTTTTAAGACTTGCATCATGGACCTTTCTTCACCTCCTCTTCCTCTCCTCCTCTTCCTCTCCTCTTCTTCCTCCTCTTCTTCCTCCTCTTCTTCCTCCTCTCAACATGATTGCAATTACTTCAAGGGTGTGTAATGCGTCCCTTACCTCCTCCTCCTCCTCCTTTTTTCCTCTTCAGTGGACCTACTTTGTAAAATGAGGAAGGAGTCAAAGAGAGAGAGAGAGAGAGAGAGCTCAGTCAGTCAGCCACACTCCTTTCCATCTTGTTATTAGCACACTGACCCCACCTTAACGAGGTCAAGGTCACGTTAGAGGGGTTATAAACTTCTCTTTTATAAGGTAAATGTTTGTTGTTGTTGTTGTTGTTTGTTGTAGGTCAGGGTCACTGTTGTGTATGGGTGAGTGAGGTTGGTGGTGATGGTAGCTGTGATGGTGGTAGTTGTGGTAGTGGTAATTGTGATGGTAATAGTTGTGATGGTGGTAGTTGTGATGGTGGTAGTTGTGATGGTGGTAGTTGTGGTAGTAGTGATAGTGGTAATAATAATAGTAGGTGGTGGTAGTAGTAGTGACAAAGGCTAGTGCCGATGGTGGTAGTGATAGTGGTGATGAACTGATGATGGTTCAGATGGTTGTAGTAATGGTTATGGCTGATTGTGGTAGTAACTGGTAGTGGTGGTACAATCGGTACTTTGCTCATCTGTAAAATCAGGTACCTATTTACACTTGGTGACTAAGGGTGCCCTGGGCGTGAAGCAGTGACACCTAGAACAGGAGGCGAATACACTAACCACTCAGCCACCCTGCCCTTAAGTGAACTCCACACACACACACACACACACACACGAGCCTGTAGTGGGGCAGGATGTGGTCTTCTATATCTGTAGTTAGATTTTCCTCTCTCGTAAAGGACGACCTGTAGTGAGTGTAGGACGGCCTTTAGTGAGGTAGGATGGCCTGGATGAGGTAGGACGGCCTGGTGAGGTAGGGATGGCCTGTATGAGGTAGGACGGCTAGTGAGGTAGGATGGTTTTAGTGAGGTAGACCTTTAGTGAGGTAGGATGGCCTGTATTGAGGTAGGATGGCCTTTAGTGAGGTAGGATGGCCTTTAGTGAGGTAGGACGGCCTTAAGTGAGGTAGGATGGTTTTAGTGAGGTAGGACGGCCTTTAGTGAGGTAGGATGGCCTTGATTGAGGTAGGACGGCCTTAGTGAGGTAGGATGGCCTGTATTGAGGTAGACGAGTAATGAGGTAGGACGGCCTGTAGTGACGTAGGACGGCGAAATGAGAGGTAAAGCGGCGTGCAGTAAGGTAGAATGGCGTGTACTGAGATAGGACGGCCTGTAGTGAGGTAAGACGGTCTTTACTGAGATAGGACGGCCTGCAGTATGGTAGGACGACCTGCAGTACCCATCTACCGGGGGTGAGGCAGGTTCTATCCAGTTCCTCGGAATATTGATTGGTGTCAAGAGGTGGTGAGGCGACGCCTAAGATGGAGCGACTGCGCTATCAAACTACCCTAGTGTGTGTGTGTGTGTGTGTGTGTGTGTGTGTGTGTGTGTGTGTGTGTGTGTGTGTGTGTGTGTGTGTGTGTTATGTTGAAAGAGCTGCATCAGACACACAAGTGGACACCTGAGGGGGGTAAGGGGAACAGAGGAGAGGTACTGAGGGGAACAATGGAGGGGTGAGAGGAACAATAGAGGAGTGAGGGGAAGAGAGGAGGGGGACTGAGGGGAACAATGGAGGGGTGAGAGAAATGAGGGAACAGGTGAGGGATGAGGAGACTGAGGGGAATAGGAGGGGACTGAGGGGAACAATGGAGGGTGAGAGAAATGAGGAACAGGTGAGGGATGAGGAGACTGAGGGGAATAGGTGAGGGGACTGAGGGGAACAATGAGGGGTGAGGGGACTGAGGGGAACAGGAGGGATGAGGAGACTGAGGGGAAGGAGTAGGGACTGAGGGGAACAGAGGACTTAACCTAACCTAACCTAACTGAAGCTAAGTGAATGTATCCAGGTAGAGTTTCAGCGTCAATATTCAGATAATTTCGAACATTAACGGATATTAACGGACACTAACGGACATTAACGGACAGATCGGTGTTGATGGGCAGAATATCACGACCATCAGCTAATTCGTTCCTGAAATGCAAATGATGGAACATTATGATGGATTATAGTTGTCAGGTGTGTGTGTGTGTGTGTGTGTGTGTGTGTGTGTGTGTGTGTGTGTGTGTGTGTGTGTGTAGGTATGTATTTATGTGTGTATAAGTGTGTTTTATCAGTTTATCAATGAATTTTTATATATATTTCTCTCGCTCTCTCTCTCTCTATCTCTGGCTCACTATCTCTATCTCCCACTAATGAGACTTGGAGACGGTGTTAGTGGCGTGTAATTTCCTGCCCTGACTTGGAGGAGGAGGAAGAGGGGGGGGAGGAGAGAGAGCAGGAGGAGGAGGAGGAGGAGGAGGGGAAGAGGATTGATATGATGACGATGGAGAGGAAGTGTGTGTGTGTGTGTGTGTGCGTAAGGAGTTTGTTGTTCTTGTAGGATTTTCATTTTAGTATTTATTCTGATTTACTGTTTATAATATGTAAATTTTTATCGGGTATTAAGGTAAAAAAATATTGGCCTTAGGGTTTGTTAGTTAGGTTTGGTTGGGTTTGGTTGGGTTAGTTAAGGTTTGGTTGGTTTGGTGTTAGTTTGGTTAGGTTGGATTAGGTTTGGTTTGGTTAGGTTTGGTTGGGTTTGGTTGTTGTTAAGGTTTGGTTTGGTTTAAGGTTAGGGTTTGTTGGGTTTGCTAGGGTTAGGTTTGGTTGGGTTAGGTTAGGTTACTTCGTGGACTCTGCTTTAAAAACACACCATCGGGTTCGCCAACCAATCAACGCCTGGCTGACGGACGCTCACCAATCACACGTCAACATAAAATGTACATTCAACTTTCTCATCAAACTTTCCAATCTAAACACGTCACATCCTTAACCACGTCACATCTTTAACCATGTCACATCCTCAGCCACACCACTTCATCGTATCGTATCGCGAATCTCCCCTCACCCCCCAAAAATCTAAATTATGGAAGAATTGAGTATCTATCGTAAACGCCATCGCTGCTCGTTGATTGGTCGAGTTTATCAGAGGAGCGACCATTCACGTGCCGCCCATGACGTCACTAATCAGCTGACGGGAACATTGAGGTAAAGGAGTATTTTACCCAGGTACTACACAGCTGGTCCTGCCACGCCCTTCCTCCTACCACGCCCCCTTCTACACGCCCCTCCTCCTACATGAATCTTTAGGAGGTGTGAGGTGTTCAGATGGGCCCCAGTCCTACTAGACCCTGACCTGACTTGACCTGACCTGACCTGGACCTGTTAAAGAGAGCCATTACATACAGCCCCCCTTCCTTCCTTCCTTCCTTCCTTCCTTCCTTCCTTCCTTCCTTCCTTCCTTCCTTCCTTCCTTCCTTCCTTCCTTCCTTCCTTCCTTCCTTCTTCCTTCCTTCCATCCCTTCCATCCCTCCTTCCCTCCCCCTCCTCCTTCATCATGGGTTGAAGATAATAAAGCTGGTAGTTAACTTCAAATAGTAGAACCCAGGTGGGGGTGGTCCTGCCTGTAATTATGGACCACACTTGTATAGCGGCGGTCCAGTGTTGTAATAAGCTGGACCAACATGTAGTTCAGTGGATGGCCAGATTTGTAATGACTGGCCATGCTGTAATATGCAGACTGTATGATAATTGGCCATGTAACACGAGAGGTCACGCTGTAATTAAGGTGGTGGGCCATGACTGTAATTATGATGCAACACACACACACACACACACACACACACACACACACACACACACACACACCATTAAGATTACGTCTCGAGAGCATAAGCGTCTGCCCAGTGCTCATCCAGTCGTCTCTGTCAAGTACTAGTCCATCGAAGAGAGAGAGAGAGAGAGAGAGAGAGAGGAGAGAGAGAGAGAGAGAGAGAGAGGTTTATGTGTTACAGGAGCCATACAGAGGTCGACCCGTGGCTCTTACCGGGATCATCAAAGTCGCTTTTTACAGCCACTGAGGTGTTGGGTGA